AAACTGCCTTGGATATTCTATGGGGTGCTGTTTGTAAAGTTACACGGTCAAAAATTAATAGCAATATTTTTGGTTTATTTAGCCTTTCATGAAGAAAAAAAAAGTTTTTTTTCAAAGTCATATTTTTCACCATGCCATTCATACATTTCTAAATGTCATCATTCCAAACTAAATATTTAGTTAGCAAGCTAAATATTCAGCTCCATACTAAATATTTAGTTTACAAACTAAATGTTTATGTCCAAGATAAATGTTTAATTTGCAAACCAGATATTTAACTTGCAAGTTAAATATTTAGTTAGTGAACTAAATAGTTAGGTATAAATTAAATATTTAAGTTCCAAGCTAAATATTTATTTTCAAAACTAAACATTTAATTTCCAAAACTAAATATTTATTGTCCACGCCAAGTGTTTAATTTCTAAGCTGAACATTTAATTCCTGAACTAAATATTTAATTTGCTAATTAAATATTTAGCTCAGACCTAAATATTTTTTCCAAGCTAAACATTTAATTTCCAAAATAAATGTTTATTTTGCTAACTAAATATTTAGCTCAGACCAAAATATTTATTTTCCAAACTAAATATTTTATTTCCAAAACAAACATTTACTTTTCTAACTAAATATTTAACTTGCAAGTTAAATATTTAGTTTGCAAATTAAACATTTAGCTTGGACATAAACATTTAGTTTGTCAACTAAATATTTAGTGTGGAACTAAATATTTAACTTGCAAGTTAAGTATTTAGTTTGTAAATTAAATATTTAGTTTGTAAATTAAATATTTAGTTTGGAATTATGACATTTATAAATGTATGAATAACATGGTGAAAATATGATTTTGGAAAAAAAACAACTTTTTTTTTCTTATGAAAGGCTAAATAAACCAAAAACATTACTGTTAATCTTTGACTGTGTAACTTTACAAACGGTACCCCATAATATTCAGTTCTGTTTTTAGGTCCTTCGCCCCCTTGTTTTCTGAGTTTTAAACAAATAAAGTCTTTATTTTCTTTACCTCCTGGTATGTGTGGTGATTATTTGATGGTAGTAACATTCTAGGTTGGATCTTCTGTCTGCGTGATTTGTGAATTTAATACAATACAGTACCTCTACTGTTTTTTATTTATTATATTTATTTTATTTATTGTCGAAGGAGGCAGTCTTTTGAGATATTCCTAGTTCACTGAATGGGTGCATACGTAGTTTTGAATTGTTGATTGGCTGTAAATGCACTGCACTTATATAAACACCTTTCTACTTTATCAAGACACTCAAAGCACTTTACAACACTATCTGTGTCCTAGTAGAGTGCTGTATGAATGGGTACAAAGAATAATCAGAGCTTTATCACATTCATACACCGATGGGACAAACATCGGAGGCAATGAGGGGTTCAGTGTCTTGCCCATGGACAATTCAACATGTGACTGCTGGTGGAATCGAACCCCCAGCTCTCCCATCGGAGGACGACTGCTCTAACCACTCAGCCACAGCCGCCCTTAGCTGCCCTGTGGCAGCCATCTCGAAACAATTTAACTCCAGAATTTAACTAGTTGCAGATTTACATGTGGCCGTTCCGTTCTAAAGGGTTCTCTTAAAATACATAACATGGTTTGAGATTTTTTTGCTAACACAACAAATTACCACAAACACGTACACAGAGGAAAGACATTGCCTGCCTTTTGCAGTATAAGGAAAAAATAATCTCAGTTATGCTGATTTGAACACCCAGAACTGTCAAACATTTACATAGATACTTTAAAAATTTAATACTGACTTTTTTTTTTACAGTATGTATTAATGCTGCTGCCTATTAGAGCAACTTCTAACTAAGTGGACGTTGCTCCTTTTTCTCAAAACTTTAAATGTTCACATTATATTAGTTTTCATTTTAAAAAATCCTCCAAAACTTTATTGTAAAGAAAAAAAAATTGTGTCAAAAGTTCACAACAGAAACAAGATACACGAGGACTGAACATACTGTACATAAAAAAATGGCATTTAATACAATGACAATAACAATAATAAAATTGAAATTAATATTGAGACAAGTTAAGTAAAAATAAAATCAGGAACTCTAAAATGAGAGCAAATTAGTTTTTTGTTCCTTCTGATTATTGGAGAAATGAATCAAGTGCATATATATACGGTGTAAATTCAAATAAAAAGCCAACAAATTTGTATTTTCTTTTCTTTTAAACTTTATATTTGTGTATATGAAATTTGGCCTGGATGACTATCAAATTAATAACCAATTCCTTTGCACTCATTTTTATACTTTGCTGGAAACCAAAAGGAACATGTTTCCAGAGTAAGTGATAATTGGGGAAATACTTTTGAGTTGATATAATCACAGACATTTTGACAAAACTCCTTGGAACCAGAACAAGTTACAGATTCTGGGGAGAGATCACAAAACGTACAGTTTGTATCTTTGTCCAATTTTATGTTATTTTTTGTCAGATAATATTTCCACCTTCTGCCAGAAATCCAGTGCTGACTAACTGACCCCCACCTTTGCTCGGGTCTTGAATAAGTCTCTGCAGCTGTGTGAGCTTCCCTCCTGGTTAAAGCATTCCAACATCATCCTGGTCCCCAAGAAATGCACCATAACAGGATTAAATGACATGTTGCCCTCAAGTCTGTGGTCATGAAATCCTTTGAGCGACTGGTGTTGAAACATCTGCAGGACATCACAGGTCCCCTGTTGGAACCCCTGCAACTTACTTACCGAGCAAACAGATCGGCAGATTATGCACTCAATCTGGGACTACACTTCATCCTGCACCACCTTGACCACCCAGGGACGTATGTCAGGATCCTGCTTGTAGACTTCAGCTTAGCCTTTAACACCATCAGCCCAGACAACCTCCATCAGAAGCTCACCCAGCTCACAGTGCCGGCCTCCACCTGTCAGTGGATCACCAGCTTTCTGACCAACCGGCAGCAGCATGTGAGGCTCTGGAGCATCTTCTCTTGCACAAGAATCATCAGCTCCAGCATCCCCTGGCACCAGGGGTGTGTTCTCTCACCACTCCTCCTCTCTGTACACAAATAACGTCACCTCAGTGGACGGGTCTATGAAACTTCTCAAGTTTGCAGATGACAACACAGGACAATGACGAGTATGCATACAGACAGTGGGTGCATCGGCTGGTCCACTGGTGCAATCAGAAACACCTGGAGTTTAATTCACTCAAGACTGTGGAGATGACAGTGGACTTCCGAGGAAGTCCCCACCCCCCCACCTTGACAGTGGATGTCCAGAGAAGCCCCCTCCCCTTCCCCTCATACTGCCACTCCTCACCATCCTCAACAACACTGTCTACTGTGGATCACTTCCGGTTCCTGGGAATCACACTTTCTCTGGACCTGAGATGGTTCTCACACATAGACATGATTCAGAGGAAGGCCCAGCAAAGAGTTTACTTCCCACAGTAACTCGAGAAGTATAACCTACCACAGGAACTGCTGGTCATCTTCTACACAGCCCTATATTCAGTCTGTTGTGTGCACATCCATCATTGTGTGGTTTGGGTAATCCACAAAACAGGACAAGTCCAGACTGCAACGAACAGTCAGGTCTGTAGAGAGGATTATTGGGGCTGACCTTCCCTCGATTCAAGACTTGTGCAGGTCTAAGGCCAGGAAAAGGACTGGTAACGTCTCTACAGATCCCACACATCTTAGTCACAAAATGTTTTACCTTCAGTTTGGCGCCACAGAGTGCTATTTGCCATAAACAGCTGCCAAAGAGACTGTTTCTCCCCCCAGGCAGTCTCTCTGATGAACTCAGTAAACACCATGACTACTGCCAAGTGACACTGTCACATGGTAGTAGTCAGCTACTCTGCTGTGAAACAAAATAAGCATATTTGCACTATCACAACCTGCCTTCTGTTTCGTTTCCTTCATTGTATCCACCTTATTCCGGATTTGGCGCCACTACCCATAATTCATAGCGGAAGCCGGTTGTTTACTTCCGCCCGCGATCCCGCGCTGTTGTTTACGTTTGTGGGTTAACACACTTGCTAGCAATTTAATGTTTTTGACACAAAAGTTTCCTTTACCTGAAGTAAATGGCAGCACATCAGAGGTGGATACATTGCAAGGATGTTTTAAAAAGCTGCGAAGATAAGTCGTTAACTGTGTCTCACCCATCATTTCTCACGGACTGGGTAGATGATATGAAATCATGGCCCGGAATTACCTACATCGATATTATTAATTACCTTGTTTTTTCTGAAGGCGTCGATGGCGAGGAATTGCGGAATTATAAAAGCACAGAGGCATATAATTACCTCCACAGCAACAAAATAGATACAGTTTTGCTCAAGAAACAAGGCGACTTTATCTTTCTGAAAGCAGCTGTTGAGCCGAGCCAGAGCGTTGGTCAAGCTAAACACTTAGCATGGGTCATGCTCAGAGAAAGTGGAGTGGTAGAAACGGTCGGCTGTTCCTGTATCGCCGGATTGGGAAAATCATGCAGTCATGCGGCAGCTATTCTGTGGAAGGTATATCACTTATCTGGATATCAGAATATTTACATCACTGAATCAGAATCACTGAACTGGGCGAAAGCTGTGAGCTTCCTGTCTGCCTGTGTTTACATGTGGAAGCCAGAGCATTGTGCAGCCTGTGATCTACTGTCACAAAAAATTAAACATTAAAAAGGCTGTACAGTATTTTTATATTATTTGTTTTTAAAAAAGTACAGACTGGATGCAAGGCAACCTAACATTTACAGAAAAGGAAAAAATAAATGACAACAGCAGGGATGTAAATAACTTGTTTCATTTTATTAGGAGCAGTGATAGCTGAAGTCTGTTAAATTGTTACAGGTCCAGAATGCTGTGATCAGTGGAAAGACGGGGCTAGCATGTACAGATGAGCAGCGCAGGTGGAATGCTGGGACAGCAAAGAATCTTCAACCCAAACGTCTAAGCATGATAAACTTCAGACACCACAAGGCAGAGCAGCAGTATAACATCAACTTAAGGGCTGCAGACACGATTAGTCTTTATTTTCATAAGTGTTATAAGGACTTGATCTTGTACAGGCATTGTAAATTCATTGTTGTCATCTCCTTCCAGTGCTGACACAAGAGTGTTAAATGTTTCTAACGCTATACCAGTGTACAGCAAAGCGTCTGCGTCATTTTGTAGAAGAAAAAATGCAACTTCATCACACTGAGTCGTCTTGTCCTGGACATCTTTTCTGCCAGACGTGTTGCAGTATTGATGATGATCTTTTAGCGAAGGGTCCTCCCACTGTGTGTGGACTGAGTGCAGATGTGGCCCAGGAGGTTGTGTGGAGACGCTAGCCAGGTCTGGGATGACTGACGGTGAATCTACGGTGCACTCTGAATAACACAAAAATACAAAATCAAATCAGCGTAACACAACCTGTCAAGTGTCACTTACCTTATTACGTTTTAGGAAGGAAATTTGTAATTCCACACTCGTACACACATGATACATCTTAAATGTCAATAGTGCTGTTTTAGTGGGGCTTTAGCCCCCTTCAATTTTCCTAAGCCCCATCAAATTATGCTATAATATCAAAATATTGTGATTAGATTTTAGTTTTTCATCCTTAAAAAAATCAGTTGGAGCTAGGTTGCATTTAAGCTTTTTCTTTAAAGAGTTTAAAAGAAGGTTTTTTTTCAGCTGTGTCTGTTTCAAATAACCTGCCTCTAATAACTCAACATATTCTTTATTAACAAAATCCCCAGACTTTTACAGCCCTGGGGGCTGAATTTTACCAGGTTGCTAAATAAAAAGCTATTCTCGGACAGTTACATGAAATCATATACATCTCTGCTAGCATGCTACTGATGTTAATTACTAACCACTTTGTCTTTAAGATTTGGATTTGGCTGCCAATCAAGTACTTTCTCTTAGTGATAAAGTATTTTGGAATTAAATTAATAATACACTAACATCCACAATAACACTGCAACCAGCTAGCGCTGATGCTAACACCATCCACAGTATAGTAATTATAACATTACAATTATAACATTAATAATAATATAATTCAGTAAAAGATGAGAGCTAAGCATGATTAAAATGTGAAGCGGGGACAAATCACATTTTCAATTTCACTCACCGGGAACAGATTCGGCCGTTTTGTCGATGTTGCTGGAAGCTGTCTGGCTCACAGTGGTCCGGATGAGCTGCCTTCTTTTCTTTGGTGGGGCCCGGTCATAGCCCAGATAGAGCTCCGGGTCGGGGTGAAGCTCTGTGGGCTTTTTATCAATAAAATGAAAGGAGCAAACATAAACTCTCTTCGGGGGGTATTTGAGTTTTAAAGCTGCCAGCCACGCTCGTTTTCGATCCTCCTTCCTCGGCATGGAGTGCAGTTCGTAACGCGCTGGGCACACACAGGCCTTTCGAAGTTGTTGATGTGCAAAACAATACGTTTCTAGCTCGTCTTTCAGTTTTCTGGAGCTGTTGTGACAGCCAACAACAGCACAAGTTGAACCCGAACTCATATTAGAATTGTTTAAGCCTCCTGCTACAGCACAAATTACTAGAATTTGTCATTAGCAAAAGTGCCTCTCACTTTAGCTCACCGGAAGTATAAAACCGGGAGGGGGCGGTACCTGTCTGTCATGGCAGCCCACATACGCTCTTGCAGAATAAGGTGGATAAACAATAGCTGTAGTACTGTACATGTACAAACTCTTTCTTTTATCCTCTTAGGTTTGTATAAGTTACACATGACCTTCTCAATCCCACCAACATGTTTTCCATGAAGGTAGCTGACTCGGGGCTGGTCTGTCCATAACCATGGCTGAGGCTTGATTTCCTTAAGGCTCTGGATGTTGTGGGTCTGTCTTGGTTTATGCACCTTTACAACATCGCGTGGACACCGGGTGCAGTGCCACTGGATTGGAAGACTGAGGTGGTGGTTCCTCTCTTAAAACAGGGGGACTGGAGAGTGTGCTCCAATTATAGGGGCATCACACTCCTTAGCCTCCCTGGAAAGGTCTATTCAGGGATACTGGAGAAGCAAGTCCGATCATTGGTTGAACCACAGATCCAAGCGGATCAATGCGGTTTCCATCCTGGCCATGGAACACTGGATCAGCTCTTTACCCTTACTAGGGTCCTCAAGGGATCATGGGAGTTTGCCCATCCAGTCCACAGGTGTTTTGTGGATTTGGAGAAGATGTTTAACCGTGTTCCTCGGGGCACAATGTGGGGGGTGCTCTGTGAGTATGGGATTGGGGGCCCATTGCTATGGGCTGTTCAGTCCCTGTGCAATCGGTGTAAGAGTTTGGTTCACAATGCCAGCAATAAGTCGGACCCCTTCAGGGTGGGAGTTGGACTCAGCCACGGATGCCCATTGTCACAGATTCTGTTCATAACTTTTATGGACAGAACTTCTCAGTGCAGCCAGGGGTCAAAGGAAGTCTGGTTTGGTGGTCTAAGGATTCAATCTCTGCCCTTTGCAGATGATGTGGTCTTGTTGGCGTCTTCGTGCCGTGATCTTCAGCTTTCAGTGTAGTGGTTCACAGCCGAATGTGAAGCGGCTGGGATGAGAATCAGAACCTCCAAATATGAGGCCATGGTCCTCAGTGGGAAAAGGGTGGATTGCTGTCTTTGGGTCTAGGGTGAGGTTCTGCCTCACCTGAAGGAGTTCAAGCTTCTCGGGATTTTGTTCACTAGTGAGGGAAGAATGGAGCTTGAGATTGACAGAAGGATTGATGCAGCATCTGCAGTATTGTGGACTCTGTTGATCCATTGTAGTGGGGGGTGGGGGGAGTTGAGCTGTAAAGTGAAACTCTCTGTTTACAGGTTGGTCTATGTTCTTACCCTCACCTATGGACACAAACTCTGGGTAGTGACCGAAAAAACAAGATTGCAGACACAGACCGTTTAAATGAGTTTCCTCCACAGGGTAGCTGGACTCTCCCTTAGAGATAGGGTGAGAAGTTCAGTTATCCGGGAGAGACTCAGAGTAGAACCGGTGCTCCTCTACATTGAGAGGAGACAGTTGAAGTGGTTCAGGCATTGGGTAAGGATGCTCCCTGCTTCAGGCATATCTGACTGGGAGGAGACTCTGGGGAAGACCCAGGACACGCTGGAGAGACTATGTCTCTCGGTTGGCCTGGAAACACCTTGGAGTTCCCCCAGAAGAGCTGGAAGAGGTGGCTGTGGAAAGAGATGTCTGGGCCTTCCTGCTCAAGCTGCTGCCCCCACGACCTGACTTCAGAACAAGTGGAAGATAATGGATGGATGTCATGAAACATTTTGATGGTTTACTTTAAGACTAATGACTTGTCAAGCTACATTTTGATTTAGAAGTGGGGTTATATAGACACATAGCTGGGACGATATAAATGGAACTGAGCTGAATACAGATGATGCATTAGGAATAGAGAAGCAAATATTCAGCTCTGGTCTATTGGATCCTCACAGTTCCTGTGGCATAACGTGACAGTAATGAAGATCTGCAGCTGAGCTCTGCTACGGGTTTAGTCACAGCGGAGTGCAGCCCAGGGATGAATATTTAAATGAACGGACTATTGAGCCAATCCTGATAGCAAAAATTTGTTGAGGCAAATATGCACTTTTATACAGGTAGCCATTTGTCAGTCACAGTAAATGTTTAAATACTCTGCAGTTTTTGTCTCTCTTCACAAAAAAGGTTCTAAACACCTGATATGAGACTATAGTGATAAATTATTCATAAGCTGCAGGTGGTTAGCACTCAGAAGCCTCCTGTGAACATATACCTTTTCCTCTGTGCCAAAATTGATAGATAACTCATAACTTATACTCAAAGTGTATTTTGTAAACATATATTTTGTCCAAACTCTGTTAATTCACACTAAAACATGTGATATTTAGGCTTTTTGACCAAAGCCAACTCATCTTTACTTTGAAGCTTCATGCACTGATGTGTATCTCACTGATGAAAGGTTAATTTATTTTAATCATCCCTCCTGTCCTTTTTCTGTGAAGCTAATCTGACATGAGTCCAAAATAGAAAAATGAAGTCTTCTCGAGTTGTTTTAAGGCAGCAGCGATCATTTTGGGCCAGACCCCGCTCTGACTGCTTCTTTTTCAGTTTGATAGTTTGATAGTTAGATATTAAAAACTCGGTATGACTCTACATGCATATAAAACAACATAAAAAAAAGAATAACTATTTTGAATGTTTATAAATTTCATTAAAAAAAAACAACTTCCATTTGGATAAGAGATACAAATGCCGTAGAAAATCTCAGTTTAAAAAAAAAATTCAAACTAATGAAGATAGAGCTTCCATGTAACCTAATATATTTCTGAAACTCGAGTGAGAATGAAGAAAAGTAAGTGTATTTACTGCAATTTTTAAAAACTAAATTGTAGTGTACAGTTGATGTAAATGTTTAAAAATCTGAACAGGTGAGATCCGGTTGATGTTGACAGATATCTGCAGACGTCTGTGTGTTCCTGAGAATCAGGACATCCTGCAGCAGAGACATGTTATGTAACTGCATGTCTGGTGCCACATTTGACATTGAATATTAATCCCGATTCATCTAAGAGAAAATCAACTGAATTTCCTGTTTCTGTCAGAGTGGCTCAGATGAAAGGCAGCACCATCTTCCCTGCAGCAAAATTCGCACCTCTGTCAGCTTCATTACATTTATAGTTCATACACAATTCTTAGAGAAAGATTCTTTTTAACCATTCAGGTTCTTCACAGCTTTCATGTTTTGAGGAACTTATTGTTTTATTTGGTTTTCTACCTAACAAAGTCCATGCTCAATAATCCAGGTATACAATCCAACAATTTTCAGTCAGGTCATCTGCACAGTTTGACATGACTGTCGACGAGGGAGAGGGCCGGCACCGGAGGAGGGGGCGTGCCAAAGAGGCCATCTTAGCACAAACATAACTGGTTTGTTCCACTTTGGAGTAAGCTGTTGGGGGAAGAATCAGTTTTGTGTTGTGTGTTTCCTTGACTGATGAAGCCTTCTGGATGGAAGGGGAAACGTTTTAGCAACAAAATAAACTGTCCAGATGACCTGACTGAAAACTGTTGGGTTGGTTTTTTACCCTTTCAAAACATAAAATATCTGTGGAATCAATCACACAAAACATTTTTTTCCACAAGGCCCATAATGCCATCTTCATAAACAACAACAACAACAACAAAAAAAAAAAAACAATCAAAACTAAAATCACTAATATCTACAGTAGGAGTAGGTAAACCTTGACAGGTATAGGGGCCAGGACCTGAAGTGGACTTCTGGCAGTTCAGTTTTGGAAAACTGAAAGTGGTTTAAGCAAATATTATATTGTAACTCTTTACATTTTAATGACTTTTGCACCTGGTGATTATTGTTTTAATGTATTTGATCTATGAATATTTACACTAAGGGTTGGGTTGGTCTGACACAGTTTTTGTTTGAATTTCATTTAGCAAAATGGATGTTAAGATTATCAGGAGAGAGTATATGATACAAAAATAATGATATGTAAAAAATATATATATATTTTTTTAAAGCAAATCAGGTCCAATATACACTATGGATATATTTTTTAATATACTGTATACTTTGTTTCCATTTATATTTTTCCCCCTTTGTATGATTTTACACAAATGCTGAAACTCCAAGGTAGTACCAATAGGTGGCGATAATGTTCACATTATACACAATAAAATATAAATATTTTCCTGAAACAATTGATGCTCTTTTAATTATGTGTTTTTTTTTTAATATAATTTCCTGTTAATGACATTTTTTTTAGCTCATAAATTTAATGGTAAGAAGATCACAATAACGTAAGACAGAAATATAATTAACAAGAACAAAATGAGTTTCAATAGTTGTTCTTATTGTAGGACACAAAATAATAGATGGTATGTTCAAAATAGGCATATATATTACATATATATATATATATATATATATATATATATGTAATACTTGAAACAGAAGTAGTGCACACAGGGTCTCAATCAAATGCTATTTTATTTATGTTTACACTGCTTTACTTCAGACTGCTGTCTATTACAGGAACATAACTGTAGCCTGCTTCCAAAAATAATCCAGATCATCACTTAAGATCATAAGGTGTTCATCAAACTAACAGTTTTATTTGATTAAACGTTAAACTATGTTCTGAAGCAAAGCTGTGCAGCACATGAACACAGAATAATGAAAACTTATTTACATCCTGTAAACGTTGTCTTTGTTGATCTTCAGCACTTAAAGACTCCAACTCATTGAAGTTTTGTGAATTTAGACTTCTAACGTATCCCATTTATGAGCGGCGTGGGGCATGGCCAGTGGTGAAACTGGGCTAAACATTTAACCATAAGAGGCAGTATTAAACTGCGTTATATTAAATTAGGCACAAGGCTGGTTATTAATGCTACAACGGTGAGAGGGCAGTGTGCATTAAAAGTTTTGGAATAAATCAAAATGAATGATAATGTTTAGAGAATGCATTATGTTCATTTGTTAGAATAGACTCTTATATAAAATTAACTTATCTTCTTTCCAGAGTATAAACCTGACTGAGACTGGTTTCTGATGGCAGAATAGGCATTTAATTTGAAAGAAACTTAAGTACCAAAAACAACAACCAGCTTTATATGACAGCAGTTAGGAAAGAAAACATGTCCTCAGCGGACAAACAGTCACAAAGGTATGATCACCTGTCACCATACTTGTCAATGATGCCATAATGTCCGGCACTAATGAAACGCTGCGTGTGCATCGATTGTCAACATGTTATTGCTTCAACAAAGGGTGAAATGGGATTTGCACAGTAATGTTCAAATCCAGTTCACTAAATAAAGATGTTAATCAGCCTGAAATAAACATAAAGTATTTTTAGAGAATGGATTTCTACATATGCTTTGCTTTGTAAATCTTTCTGGGTCTTAATGACGAATTATTCTTTTTTTAATCTACAATTTGACAGAGAACATTTGAAGTGACTTCAAAAACGGCTCACAGAATGGCACAGCTAATCTCACAAGAAGATAAATTGTGTTATCTACATCAGTGGGTATCCATTATCTGATCATGCTCGTTTTTTTTATTATAATCACATTGATTTAAAAAAGACATAATCAGTAATATAAATTAATATGTAAAGCCATTAGGTTTATAAATACAAAACATAACATATCAAAGCAATCATTTAACATCCAATATTCAAAAGGTAAAAGGAAATCAAGACATGTGCGAGAGAAACAAAGTCCTTCACGTGGAAAACAACACAAGATTGTAGCACTTCATTCGTGTGGTGAAAATAATAAAAGCTTCAGACTGATTTCGTGTAACTCTTTTTAAGAAATGCATGAACACTGGTGACCTGAATACATGTCCAAATACACATGGCCTCATTAACAACAAAACTTAGCTTACATAAGCATTAACTGCGTGATCATTACTGGATAACAGTGAATACAGATCCATTACAACACTTCTTTTTATCCATGCTTTCTCACATTTCTTTCTTTCTCAGCCCAGTTTCCAAATCTAATATTTAGGACAGATTAATATTTTCTTTTGCCTCTGCATTTCTTCACTTCTAAGTAGAAGAAGTACACGTTTGCTGTGTTGCTATCCTAAAATCCATGCAATCCGATATTTGTACACAGTGAATCTTTACCCTCATTGACACGGTCTGCACTGCTTTACCTTTCTTTCTGAGGAGACATTCACTTCTGTATGGGAGCTATTACAAACACACGACTGGTTTGCAATAATAAACATAAATCATTGGAAAAATTTAACATGAGGATAGCTCTCCCATGTAAAGAAACTGTCCACTCAGTTCACGTATACTGCCCTTAGCAGTGTTTGGAACAATAATGTTCCACTTCAGGAGGGCCATAAAAAGGCCAGGCAGCAGTTTGAGCGATCAGTTGTATAAGACAATAAAATGGGTGAATAGTCGCTGGTGTGTGGGACACTGGTTCCTCCCCTCGCACCTTCAGGGTCACAGAGAGAGCGCCAGAGAGACGATGGTCCAGAGGGGCTGCGTTCATCTCCTCGCAGGATCTCAGTATCTTATCAACACACACAGAGGCAGATGACAGGAGAGCTGATGGCTGAAAGTTGGTTTGCCAGCACGCTGTCCAGGACCCGTGGAAGGAGAGGAGCATTTTAGAGCAAAGAACTGGGGCTTTCTGGGGGTGGTGGGGGTGTTTGTTTGGGGCTGTGATGCATGGGCAGAATGTCATAGTGGCTGGGGATGTGGCTGCTGCAAGGAAGGTCATAGGGGGTCTGGGAGAAGCCAGTGGCCATTCCATTAGGTCCCTGCAGGATGCTCACAGTTGGTTCTGTGATAGTTTAGAAAAGAAAAAAAGAAAAAGGAGATATGTTAGCTAGACTAAAAGAAACACAAAGAAAAAGAGAGGTCAGAGTTGAATCTGCTTGCTTCACAAACTTGAGCACTGACACCAGGTGTACAGAAAGACCATTCTTCCAGTGGGGGGTTTGTTCAATACATGACAGTACAGTTTGTTTTATTTGTTTTTTCATATCAAGTACCTCTGCTTAGTACTTCTAATACATGGGTCTTTAGTAATATACATGTATTATTAGCATACTCTAACATTTTGCAGGCTTGCCCATATCTCAAACTGACAGACTCTACTACTCTGGTGAAAAAACCTTTATCATGGTGGCAAATCATTGCCAGTTTTAAATTTACATTCTCAACAACACCAATATTAAACTACACAAGACTCATATTTATCTGCCTGAGACTGGCACTCTGCAGAAATCAATACAGACCAAAGGCAACCCAACATTAAGTAATCGTCCTTTTGTTTTGACAAATGCATCATGTTTTATGCTGGGTTGCATTTACGAAAGTCTAAATTCAGATTTAGGACTGGCTTTGCACCTGCCTATGGTGTTCCAGATGGAATTCAAAAACAGTGTTTGCTAGTTGTGGTCAGGCTAACTACTTTCTAAAATAATGAAAATGTATCTCTCTGATGCATTTAAATATGGTACATTTTCTAATAAAGAGGACAGAGTGAGATGGAGGAGGATGACTTGCTCGGGAAAAGCTGAAAGAAGACACTTTTTTAATAAAAATAGTACATTATTATCTCTGACACTTATTCAGTGGTATACAAACCATGGGTAGTAAAAATAAGAAGTTTATTGCTGCAGCTATCCCAGCTTTTTATGCACAAGGCAGCCATATTGGAATTTGAGGTTGGGCTTGGTGAGGAATCTTTGACTAGTTGAAATTGTGACTGTAGTATCGTGTTCTAGTTGTTTTTAGTTTTTCAACACAGAACTTTGAAATTTCCACTTCTGAATGTTCATGTAAAATAAAAAGAAAATAAAAAACAAAACATGAAACTACTACTCTTTGGACTTTCTGTAGCAGTTAGCTGTGTCACAACGCTAACGCTAGCTTGAGGGCGGCTGTGGCTGAGTGGTTAGAGCAGTCATCCTCCAATGCAAGAGTTGGGGGTTCGAATCCACCAGCAGTCACATGCCGAAGTGTCCCTGGGCAAGACACTGAACTCCTCGTTGCCTCCGATGTGTGTCCCATCAGTGTATGAATGTGATAAAGCTCTGATTAGTCTCTTTAGAATGATTTGTTCAATTCGTTTTGTAGAGATCTAATAGAGTGCTGTATGAATGAGTAAATGAGGACACAGATTGTAGTGTAAAGTGCTTTGAGTATCTCGATAAGATAGAAAGGCGCTATATGAGTACAGTCCATTTACCATTTGTGTGTAAACAAGAAGAATGCGAAGAGATTTGTTTTATGCTGTGTTTGAATTACTGCTCTCCTTTATAGCGATGCGACAGCTAACAATGTTTCTGTATGGTTTTCCGCATATGAGAAAAACCACAAAGTTCTTTGCTCCTGCTTGTATGATGTTCCTGATGCAGGTTACTGTCTCTTTCATTCACCACCAGAGGGGGGTGCAGCCCCCCCTGAGCTGCAAACAAGTGCCACTCACCAACTTCATAGATGTTCCTGCTCACAGTGCCCAGGAGGGTGGCTGTACCTCCGAAGGGCACTTCACGGTGGGAAGGGGATTTCATCTCAACGTAGCTGTTCTCTGTGTGCTTGCAAGCCAACTTGGGTGGGTCTCTAATGGTGGCATATGGATTATCACTATTCAGGGAGCAGGAGCTGTTGCTGCACAGGGAGCTTTTGATGTAATCTGCAGAAACTGCAAGACAAAGACTTATGCAATATCAACAAAGATGAAGCGGCTGTCACAGACCTGTAATGGTGGTATTAATACTGGAATTTAAAAAGATATCACAGTATGGCGAAGAGAATGGCAATGAAGCTAAAGTTGAATTTCTTTTTTGTCTCCAGCAGGTGAGTAATGGTGGTTTATAGTAATCAGAGTACAAAGGGGGAGAGAGTGGAAGGCTCATCTCATCTATAACAGTCTCATCAATCTGATAAGAGGCCTCATTAGAGACCGCAGCAAAGCCCTCTTCACACCCCTGGGTCCCTCACATTTACCATCGACCGCACAGTGTGGAAGACAAAATGACGTATCAGGCACTGAGCCATAGAAAGCAATTACTGTTGGAATAAAACCTCAGCCCACCATGATCTTGTCCAGAGTGCAAAGAGTTTTCACATAAATCACTGAAAATATACCTGTGTGACATTTTGGGTTGGAGAAATGGTCATATCAAAAGGGAAAACAATCCAAATAGAAAAACAGAGCCGTAAAGTGTGAAAAGATTCCATAATTGTGCTGGTGAAGCTGGGCATGGTTTCGCATGTGAAATGAGTTAGCAAACACACATACAGAAAAAAACATTTAAAATAAAATGTTTACCTTTTCTTGAGCCTCTTTGTGTCTGTACATCACCCTGCTGAACCTCTGAAACGAGACAGAAAAACATCACATATAATTTCACCATCTATCCATGCCATCCATCATCTCTTATCTGTGATTCGGTCATGGAGGCAACAGGTCCAGGAGAGAAACTAAGCCATCCCTCTCCTAAGCAACACTTAGGAGCTCTCAGGGCATTCCCAGGCCAGAGATGATATCCCTCCAGCAAGTTCTCGGTCAGCCCTATAGGAGATCCTTTTTCGGGGATATTCTCGGGAAATGTCCAAAAGTAGGCATTCAGGAGTCATCCTAATCAGATGCTTGAACCACCTTAACTGACTCTTTTCAAAGGAGTCCAAGCTCCTCACCCTATCTCTAAGGCTGAGCCCGGCCACTTTACAAAGGGTGCTCATTTCAGCTGTTTGTATCTGGGATCTCGTTCTTTTGGTCAGGATCCAAAACTTATCACCATAGAATTGGAACATAGACAGATGAGTAAATTGAGAACTTTGCTATTAGACTTAACACATTCTTTGCCACAACAGACAAATGCCCTCATTACTATATGGATGATGCCAGATGGAAAAACTCATTCCAGACCTGGGGGCATTCCTCCCTTGTCCATTGAACTCAGACTTAGAGATAAATGTGATGTCACTCTGCTACTTATTGTCTTACTGCACATTGAAGATCAAAGACTAAAGGTACCAACAGAACCATATTAGTCTTAAGGCGTGTTTTTGCACTGGAAAAAGGAGTGGCTCTTAATTTCATTGTACTGCGTATAATGACAATAAAGGCATTCTGATTCTGATATCAACAGCAAAAAGCAGTCAAGACCATTAACATTGGTTGATCCACTATGAGAGGGTGCTATTTATAAGACTGAGCTGAATACAGCTCTTCAGACTAAAGAAGTCTTTCGGACGAAAGACGAAAAGTTTCTACAATTTTATGTTTTTTGAACCCGTCCAGAGGACCAGGCTTAACTTTTTAGATCAAGACCATTAACTTTCCCAAACCAGACACCCTCCTCTCCACAACTGCACCTTGAAATCCTGTCAATGAACATCACAAACAGGATCAGAGGCGAGGGACTGCCCATGCAGGGTATAACCTGCACCAAAAATGAGCTTGACTTAGTGCCAAGGATATGGAAACAGTTCTTGTTGTTGTTATAAAGGAATGGATTGCCTGTAAACACAGCCCTGGTACTGCATGCTCCTGGAGCACCCTCACAGACTGCCTTATGGTCATAAGCCTTTTCTGGGTCCACAAAACACATACAGACTGGAAAGTCAAACTCTCATGACTAGTAGATCCACAAGGGTGAAGATCTGATTCTACTATTGACCAGGACAAAAGCCACGCAACTCTTCCTGAATCCAATGTTTGACAATCTGTTGGAGCCTCTCTTCCAACACCCTAGAGTGAACTTTCCCAGGGAGGCTGAGAAGTGTGATACCTTGATAGCTGGAACATGCACTCTGACCTTTTCTTTAAAAAAAAAAAAAAAAGGGGAACCACCACCCAAGTTTGTCACTTCCCAAATGTGAAATGTGACAATCAATGCTTCGTTGAAGGATTAGTTCAGATCTTCTGATATGAGGATCTCTGGAAAGAGTATGAACAATTTATATATTACCTGTTATAAAAGGCTTTTTTGAATGACCCCAGTTTTGGAAGAATTGAATGTGATGCTTACTAAACTATCGCCCTCATTTGCGCCACTCTGGGCCCTATATGACCCCATCCCCTCCCCAAATTCTCCAATCCTCCATCTGCTCCCCCAGGTGCCTGAGATGACAGCCCCTCTGCTCCACACATGTGAGCTGTGCAGCTCACTGGTCTGTGATTGTGTCAGAAAGGGCACCTGGCATAAAACAACTGCTGAATCCTCGTGCAAGTTCGCTCACTGTGGCAACCCCTGAAGAAGGGAGCAGCCGAAAGAAAGAAAATAAATTGTTCAGAACCTTTCCCACAACAACCCAATTCAAAAGATCTGCAATATCTCTTTAAGGTTCAGCAAAATATTAGAGAATTTCAGAAAAAAATGGTGATGATGATGATATAGATGATCTATATCTATTAAATACTGTATTTCATCTGAATGAACGCTTACAAGTCTGTCAGCTGTGGCTATAACAAGATACTAAATGACAACAATTATCAATCTCATGCAAAGATATGCTGGTTGATCGCTCAGGGACAATTTGAGCTGTCGTAAGAATTTGATTTGCTGCATGCTTGAATGCAAATTGGGAATAAGTAGTTACAAATTTTAAATAAAGAAAGAATTGATTAAAGAAAAATTGGATTTTGCTTGATGTTTAGCTATAATTTATTCCATCTAGGTAGTTTTATTTATTTATTTTTTTAAAGTTTACACCATTACAAACCAGAAACAAATATAATTTTTCATATAAAATGTTAAACGTGTGTGCATAGGTGCATTATTTTAAAGGTGTTTTGAAGAAATTTCTACCTAAATATGACCCCCAGAACAATATATATATATATAAAAAATAATAATAAAAAAATCAACATTACCAGACCTAATTATGCATAAAATACCCATATTCATGAGAGATATTTTATATAATATATGTAAAAAATTCTATAAACATTTTATAATTAGTTGTTAATTTGAGTTGAAATGAGTCAGGTGGAATAGTAATCAGGTTTGAGTGGGACGACCTGTTTTAATTAAGGAGCTGGGATCTATCAAAGTCTGATCTTCAAACACTCTTCATGGGTTGTAATATCACACTAACAAAGGAGACCTCTGAAGGACCTCAGAGAAAAGGCTGTTGATGCTTATCAGGCTGACAAAGGTTTTTATATATATATATATAAATAATAAAAAACAACAGTTTTACTCCACCAGTTCTCATCCAAAAATGTTTTATGCGTAAAGATATCAAGATTGTCATTACAGACTTATGTTCTAAGCATTTAGTTAGTAAAATTAAAGTAAAACACTGGTGAACAACAAAGTATACGTTTCTCAGATTGGTTACCGGTAATTTTAATATTCATTAATTAAGCATGAAATTACTGAAACAAATGTTTTGTGCTACAATAGGTGCAGGAATAAGCCATAGTGGTCAGCCAACATAAAATCCCAAAGTATCATTGTTCAAAAAGTAATTGTCTCTAATAAACAAACTTGATTTAAACTAAACCAAACAATTACTCTGCAAAAATTAGATCAAATTAAACAGACTTCACTCAAACCTATATGTAACTCTTTGGTTTAAATGGTTTGCATGTTTGCAGAAAGATAAACAATGCACTGAACCATGCAGTGAGAACCTTATCTTGAAGGATGGTGTTAGTTTTGTTGCTGTTGTGCCACAACTGCTTCCTCTTGCAAGCTGCTGGGTGATACACTTTGAAAGTAATCACTAATTTACCTGGAAAATCTTGCAATTTCTGTATGTGAGCTGAACCTGAAGTGAACAAAGTGGCACACAGCTGGAAACCAATTGCAAGCGCAGAACTCACTCTTTAAAGATGAATGAAGTTATTATTTTTGCAGGCAAAATTACAGGCTTGGGATTAAGACAATGGAAATCTGTAGAAAGCTTTTAAGTGTGCATGAGATAAAACTTTTTACAGATGTAAATATATATACTGTATTCTGCATGGATGCATGCATTTCCGTTGATGTGCAGAACTCATCAACAATCACACAATTAAAATATTTAGTTTTATATAATTAACAACAAATCATATGGCGACAAAAAGGTCACATGCTATATGTTTAGTCTTATTTGTGGAAATAAAATTAAAAAAAAACTTACACCATGGTTTATCTTGGAAACAGCTAAATGTGTTATTGCAATACAGTATATGCAACATACATTTCTAATATGCTGAGTAAAATGCTCCCACTTTCCTATAGGATTTTCTATAATTACCATCTTAAATGTGCAGCGTTTGACCCAGTGTAAGCCATCACCGCCACTCGGGGAAGCAAAAAAGGACTAATGAGCTCAAAGTGACCCACAATCATCTTTGCACCAGTACTCTCTTCGTCCCACCAGCATACCTTATCAAAATCAGAGCAAAGGTCATGTTTAACAAGAGCCCTGTGGTTCATCCTCATTCACAGCAGGCTGGTGCCAATAAAAGGTCTGCATTAATGGCACATGCGTCTTTGCTCTTGAATCGACAATTTTGCTCATTTCTGCTCCCAAGTCCAAGCTCAGCCTGTATGTGGTGTGACATAAAGAAAGAGAGTATTACTGACCTATGTCATTACGGCTGCAGTAGGCTCTCCATTCAGAGCTGTTTCTGCCCTTTAATGTGCTTGACTGCAAAAGGGAGGACACAGTTGTTTTTATGCTGCAATGTGTTTTTGGATTCTGTTAAATGTGCCAACCCATACGTTGGGTGCTCATACTTTGAGTGTCAGAGTGCCATCCAGGTTGCTGGAGATGGTGGAGACCACGTTGCACTGGGCAACAGTGTGGTAACTGGGGTTGGAGAAGCACTGGCCACCACTGCTGGTGCTGTTCTGGCTCTGACTGATCTCAGATCCGCTGGTCCTCATTGCCACAGTACTGCCACACTCTGAGGGTTTAGAGAAGTTTCAAAGATCAACAGATGACCGTGCCACATTTCTTTTCACAAAATCGATACTTTTATCACAACTTCAACCATGTTTTACAGACATTTTAAAAGAGGCTTTTAGTAATTTTGCAACTGATAGACTTTAGCCAAAGATTGAAAATATTGAAAAACTTCTCACCGGACAGAGAATAGTCAGTGTTGTTAATCTGCATTGCCTGTGTGTAGGACACACTGGGGTGGATCTCGTGACCCTTGTCCCTCTGCCTCTGCCGGTACCACACAAACAGACTAAGCATGGCCATGATGATGAGGAGTAGGAAGATGATGCCCATGACGGCCCCTGCCGATTGGCGCTCCGAGCCCCGTGCCGGGCTAATCTTAGTGTACGGATTGAGCTCCTCCATCATCAGAGCTGCTACACAGTAAACAAAGAGAGTGGGAAATCCAAACAATGCACACACATTTGTGTTTGAGCTCTAATGCACCCCAAATTCTCAGCCAGCTCGGTCACCTCTCACCTTGATCACAGCGGATGCCTTTATATCCAGGGCTGCAGTAGCACATTCCAGTCACATAGTCACAGGTAGCATTGTTCAGGCACTCACACAGCTGCTGGCAGCCGTATCCAAATGTACCTGCGGGACACTCTGCATGACAGAGAAGTGCATTACTACATCTATCAAAATTAAAGCACTTACTGAACACGAGCCAAAATGTTTAGAGGACACATGCGCACTCATCCACTGGGTAATTTCGTTTACAGCTAAAATGTGCTACTCAACTCTGCTCACAGCTTATCCCAGTGAAGCCTGTTCGGCAAACACACTGGCCAGTGATGTGGTCGCAGTCTGCTCCATTCTGGCAGTGGCAGACTTCGGCGCAGTCCTTTCCGTAGAACCCTGAAGGACAGCCTGGGGACAGAGATGTATATAATATTTCAGTGAAGGTTTGAGGAGGGGGGGAATGGGCAAGACAGTGTAAAGAGTCAAGGTCATATCGCAAGGGAACAGGAAAATCAATACCATTCGATGTCTCTGCTGCATACTCAATAAGGTACAATGTGAATGGATGGAAATGAAAGATTTCCTGTTTCAGCAGAAAATCCAGTTATGCTGTTACCATAACTCAGAGTGGTACAAACGGAACAACACAACCGAGAAAGGTAGGAATCAGTTTGTTTCTGCTTTCCTTTCCCTTATCTCAAACAACACAGAATAAAACAATAGCCATTTTTATGCACCAAAGCAGGAGCTTGATGCGACAAACACCACTGAGCAAACCCTTGGGGTTATAGATAATGGCATTCAAATTACAGGACGGATGTTGATGAGCTGCACTATCAGCGGGCAAATGACTGGAATGTATTATGAGCAAAATGATGAAGTGACTATTAGATTTTGTTTGATGTTTCTCTGTGAAATAGCACATAAAAACTTTATTTTTAAACTCATAAGAAGCTCTTTTCTCTCCCCCTGCAGTCCCGCTGGATAGCCAGTAGGTGATACTGTTTGTCTGTTAACTGTTTGTGGGGGTGGGGGTGGTGGGGACTTACTCTGTGTGCAGTAGAGACCAGTCCAACCCGAGCTGCACCTGCACTCCCCATCGTAGGCACTGCACTGGGCTCCGTTGTGACAGTTGCACGAGTTGAGACAGTCGGGGCCCCAGTGTCCAGAGGGACAGGCTGCAGACGCCAGAGACAAACTTAAGGTCACACACTCTCATGATAAACCTGTTTCCCAAGATGTGCATACATGGCACCCCCAAAAACAGGCTTTTGAAGGAAAATTGAGACATTCCCCACATGTGAGGAATGTGCTATACCTCTTCATATAAGAGGTATAACAGGTCTCACTTGTAAATGAGTCTTCAAGGCTCAATGTGATTTATCTGTATAATTAAAGGTTGAATGAACATGTATATACAATAGTGAACACTATACTTTGAGTTTTCTTTTTGCAGAAAATCCAGTTTAAGTATTAAAGCTGGCATCTTGTGAGCAGCTTGAACACCTGCTGCAGTCTTCTGTTCTTACTGTAAATGCTTTAAATGCACTCAGAATACACGTCTATTTCCCACGGCGTGGCAGCTCAAAGTTCTGCTTATGATCTTTGGCCTAAAGAGCAGCAAATCAAAGAGCATAATGTATTACAAAAGCCATTTTAGCGGGCTATGTGTTTTGCATCATCTTGAGCTGGGGGCGGTTCTTATTAATTTGTAGGGTCAAGAAAACGGCTCGTGTGTATGAAAGCAAATGTGAGGAAGGGAAACTATGGGTATGAGACAGACAACGGGAGGGAGGGAAGTGCATGAATGTGAGTGAATTAAGGATGAAGGAGTGAGGCCATACCCTGTGAGCAATCCCCTCCTGTCCAACCGGGAAAGCATTGGCAGGAGCCATCAATGGGGTTGCAGGTGCCATTGTTGGTGCAGAGGCAAACCTCAGCACAAGCCCTACCGAACCTTCCGCTTGGACAGACTGTAAAACACCACACACAAAACACATTGCTTTATAAATTAGACCTGATCTGCATCGGATTTAAAAAGTCAAGCCATTAACAACATGACATGAAACCCGGACACGTTGCTGAGAGCACGTTTTACACAAACAAACTCGGTCTGTGACAGGTTTTCCTCTAATGGATGAGATTGTTCTTTTTGAGTGGATATGAAGTGAAGTGATCTGTTTAGACAAAAGGAGGCGTTAATCACTGCCTCCTGTGGCAGAACTGCCCTATTTCCACCCACTAGAGAGGAATGACTGATGCGCCACAGAATTAAAATAGACCGTGTACACAGACCACTGTATAAATATTTGATGAAATTAATATTTCAATGCACTCTGGCGCTATTCCATAAAAGAGCAAAAATTTCAGCGAAACCTTCATTGTGTTTTTTGAGTGGGGCGGGCAGGGGGGGCTGAACTGAACTGTGCCAAGGTGTGTCAGGAGGAGGAAGCAGATCGATTAAAGGTCTCATAAAATGAGAATAGCCCAGGGTTAGAAGTATCTGATAAGGTGGCTCGCTGCAAAAAGACATGGGTTGAACTCATTTTCATGTGTGGGGTGGATTTTAATGATTATATTTTAACTGGCTAACCCCCCTTTTTTTCTTGAGAGCGCTTTCAAGCTCCTTCAAGCAGGTTGTCATTAAGCCATGAGGTTTGACTCCCTCATGCTGCTTCTGAGGTTTCAAATCTCATCTCACTAGGAGAGCTTCATTAGGCTGGGACTCTGCGTGGTGGACAGAGCACGGGCGAGGATGCTGACGGAGCTCAGCCGGAGGAGAACGTACATGTTGCTGGCCACCTTCGTCCCTCGTCGCCTGACGCCTGCTCAACAGTAATTATAGCCATGACAAATTAGGACTGGCTCTCATCTTTGCCCATTTTATTTTCCTGCTCTTCCTTCAGCTCCGCTTTTAAACTTTTATTTATAAGACACTGCTTAAAGGCATGAAAGAGAATCAAAAATCCTTCACAGACTTTCTGTGATTTATTAGAAATAAAAGCTAAATTATTAGAAGTAAAAACAACATATTTCAATGTGGGATTCTTTATTATTATTTTTGGCCAGGGAGGAGCTCGGACTCTACCTTTGGTCAAGACAATTGTTTGATTTTAGGCTGAGAACAATCAGTGTAAGAGATTAACGATGACGAGAAAAATCTTGATGCCTGATTTGGTTCTTTAGTACCGTATTTTCCACCGTACACGTTGCACCACCCTATAAGTTGCATCAGTTCAAATATGTCTAATAATGTGGAAAAATCCATAAATATGTCGCTTCGCCGTATACGTCACATCTATTATGCATCACCACAGACATGTCGTGTTTGTTACGTGTCACCGCTGACGACCTGGAAATGTGGACCCGTGTTGTGCCAAAAATTGAGGCTTCCATAATGGCGGCCACGAGAGCATGCACAGGAGGACTTTAGCAAGAATTTAACAAGATTAACACCCAAAAACATTTATTTGTTTGCTTGACTTTATAGTAAATGTGTGTCTCAGTTGAACTTTTACTTAATGAAAGGACTTTACTGGTCAAATCAGCTGTATCTCAAAAGTATATACTGCCTCGGTGCTCCGGGAGCGTGCAGAGGGAAGAAATCAGGAAGGAGTAACGCTGCGCATTTCTTTGAAATTTCACAAGATAACCACCTAAAACAATTATTTGTTTGCTCGACATTATAGCAAAGATGAGTCTCAGTTGAACTTTTACTTAATAAATGCAGTTCAGTGGTTAAATCAGCTTCATTTTGCCAGGGCGGCAGAATGAAGCTGATTTAACGGTTGCTCCAAGCGAGCAGAACGAGGTGTCGTACTGTGGCAAGCCGATTGTGTCATCAAAAGCCACTTTTACCTATTACATGACACAACGGCATGCCCCACTACTCGAGTGCCATCTAGCAGCTGAAAATGGTAATGTTCAATATTTTCAGTCATAGTGAATGAAAACAATCATATCTCAGCCAAAAATTGGTTTATAAATATGGGAAAATCCATAAATACGTCACTTTAGCGTATAAGTTGCAGGGCATGTATATTATGCAAAAATCTGTGACTTATAGGGCGGAAAATACGGTACTTCTATAACAGTAAAACCTTGATCCATGAAATCCTCCTGTAGTATATTTATAATATCTGTTGGCTCAGGAAGCCACACGTGAAAAGAAATGACCAGAAACTCTTTCCAGATTAAATAAAATACTTCCCTGCCTGAAAAAAAGCACAAAAGCAACACGCAGGTTTCAAAATCATTTCCAATGTTTGTTTCTACTTCATCAACAGAGCCTCTCTGTGTAATTAAATCATCACCAAGACAATACACAAAAGACAGGTTGTCCTGAAATTACATTTAACCAGAAGAACAGATGTGCACATGTTGCCTCTTTGTATATTAATGAAAACACTTTCACATGCAAGTCCCTTCACAGAATTAGACAGAGGTGCTGCAAAATGTTTTCTCATGCCTCAGCGATTTTAATAGTTGTTTTTTTTTAAGTTAATTTTTTGTTCATTAGGTATACAGATACATGTCTGATTTTATTAGAGCCAATGAATTTTAATACACATTTTTTGTATTCTCTGTAAGGGTAAAATGATTAATGCATATTTTCTAGTAGCAGAAACTAAAACCTCGTGAATTGTGTAAGGGACAGCGCAGCAACAGGAATGAGCGTGCCACTTGCCTTGGTTGCACAGAGAACCCGTGAAGCCAGAGAGGCACTCACAGTGGCCGGTGACGTGATGGCACGGGCCGGTGCTGTGCACGCACTGTGGACACGACTGGCTGCAGCGGTGGCCGTAGAACCCAGGAGAGCAGACTGCAGCCAGTGGAGCGTGGCGGGAGACGAGAGGGAATCAGTCACCAATGTTGATGGAACAAGAGGTATATAATTATAAGACACAGCATGACAAGAGCGATCAAGGGAGTAGAGCGCGAGAGAGAGAAAAATCCACGCTGGAGGAATCAAAGCAGAAAAGACAAGGAGAGGCTGCAAAGGGAGGGTGAGAGCAGAAAAGTCAGTCATTATTGTAATCACTGCCACTTTATCTGCAGCCACAAATGGCATAGGAAGAGAAGTGCTAAAGTCCGGAAAGCATCTTAATATGTTATAAAAATGAAGATTGTGCAAAAAAAAGCAAAGCACAAGATAGTCAAGGATGGTGCAAGAGTTACAAATATCATCAATTTTGCAGGAGGCTGCAACTGATAAGACCCTTTAGTTTTAAAGTGTTCAATTCCCAGCTCCAGAAGCAGTGATTAGGAGAAAATGTATCCTCCAATAGCACTAATCTCAGGGGACAATCAGGTATTTCCTAAACAAACACCTTTTAGTAAGTAATAAAACAGTTGCTGTCCCGCTTTGACATCCAGGCAATGTGAAGTTTACACAGCAGGTGTTGATTATTTTTCAATCGCAGGGTGAGGAACATATTATCAGCCTCTGGGGAAGCATGTAATCCTTTTTAATAAAAAAATTTCACCAGACAAAAACAAAAGAGGCAAACAAAGGTGGACTTATGAGGTTATACGTGATGAGTGAATTTTTCGTTTGTTACAGTAATCATGTCGCACTAACATCCACACAAACAGTGTGTGTGACTTTCTTTTATTTCCTCTCAGAGTGATGTTTACAGGTCGTGAATTTTGCTCACAATCAGTGAGCACTTGAGAGCGGCTTCAGACGGACCCTTTCAGAAGCCAGAGCTGGCGCTCCCAGTGAGCGTGCCCACTGATGAGCTTCAGGCAAGGACCGAGTCTCCAACTGCGAGCTGGTTGTTAAGGACGGTGTGGGAGGATGAAGTGTGTGTATGTGTGTGTGTTTACTTGCCAGTGTATGTCTGAGGGATGCCGTAGGGCTAAAGACACTGTGATTAAGAGATAGCTGTGATGAAGGATTTACACTCGAGCCACTATGACCGACAGCTGAGTGCCTCTCCTGAGCTGGCTCACCCTTTTAACAATCCTTCAAAGATCAAAACAAGGTCAGCGCCATGATGGAGTTTGTTACTGCGCCGTTCTCCGTGTCAGACGGTTGTTTCTCGAGGCTCTGGATCAAGAGGGGTTGCATAGAAAAAGAGGAAAGTCTCACTTCTTTTGCAGGTGGTGCCTCTGTATCCAGGTGCGCACACACATGTGCCGTCCTCGGGAGAGCAGGACCCGCCGTTCTGACAGGAACAGCTGACTGAACAGTTGGGTCCCCAGAAGCCTTGTGGGCACACATTATCACAGTGGATTCCTGCAGGCACATTAACAAAACGAATATTCAGTGAATGCAAACTACGAGGGCAGAAACGGCGAAGCTGAAACAGCCATCTGTAAAAATAAATAAAATAAAATGCAGCTTATAGCACTCACTCACAATGCTCAGCAGCAGACCTATGCAGCAATCTCAAATTAAAAAAATCTTCAGTTTGAAGCTAGTTTTTTTTTTTAGTCCATCTTTCACACTCTGTTTTTCCTTTCCAAACGTATTTTATATTTGATCTGACTGGAGCTCCTTGCCAGTGATCTGTGTTGATTAACAGGGTTGGGCCTCCAGAGAGCCCGAGCTTGTCTCGCATTCTCTTTCAGCAAAACTGGGGTTGTGTACTGAGCTGAAGGGAGGTACTCAGCTTACAAGAGGACAGACTGGATGTGTCACAGTGTGTTTTTTTAGTGCAGCTCCAGCCAACAACTGAAAAAAACACAGCCTTCATACAGGGTTCTCACAGCGCACATGAATGCATTAGCACATCCTTCAGAGCAGCAAGTTTCCTCTCTCAGCCTTTCAGAAAAATGAGATGAAAGGAGAAAGTTGTGCTACATACGGACATGTCTCCTCATAAGGTGTAATATGCTGCATATCATTGCAGTTGCACTCAGACTCACGCACCTAAACTCTGCAACCTCACGAGCTTCGGCCATGTTCGCGGCTCATTTGGAATTTCCTTTGAGTGAGAATATCAGAGATAGGTGTAGCCATTAAAGCAGCTTTAGTAAAGAACCTTTGAATTAAACCCAGACTAAACTCCTGGGACTGATGTTATACGCTATCCACGGCGCTTTAGGGCAGGCATGGAGGCGCAACGGAGAGGAAACGTTTGAGTTGTCGAGGGCGGAGGTGATTCAGACAGGAGCACAACATCAAAAGAAGGGCGAGACGTGCGACTGCGTTTGAGGTTGTGCTAGGCTGGTCAGGAGAAGAAGAAAAAAAAACAGCGACTGTCTTTGCTCTTGGAAAATGAGTGCAGACAGAGCATCAGATTTCTCAGTGTAATGGTGACAAACAGAGGGGCTTTCATTGCCTGGTGAGAAAGAAGAAGAAAGACTGAGGTTGCTTCAAAGAAAGCTTTCTGCTGAGAAGTGCCAAAGGTCTCCACTATCCAATTTGTACAGAGCGAGTACACCAAACCAAATCTTTTTTGTTCTTTTTAGCTCTTGGTCTTTGCATATAAACACACTGTTACATCACCTGCACTATTACACGGACCAGGATCTCAAATAAAAGGCGAGATCCTATTTAGCATGGGCTTGCATGAAGCCCCCACCACCATGTGCCTCGTTAGAGAGCCCTGTTTCCTCAGCTTTACAACAGCTCAGCAACAACTGAGTGGGTCACAAACAGCTTAAACTCTTGCATGAAATAGCTCAGTCTGAGCTTCCTGCCTATTCCTGAAGACTTCACGATGAAACTCACAGCAAGCTGACTTCCCAAATCTGAATCCAACACCCCCCCCCCAGGTACATGAGAAGTTCGCAGCAAAAACAGTATTTGACTCTCTGTAAATAGACATTTTATTCCATTCCTGACTCGGTCCTGAGACAAATTCCAACAAGTCGTCTCCTTCTAATAAATACGTGTTTGTCTGACCCACTGGGCCACACACTGCCCCCCAGCCCTGCACCCTGGTGACTCAATTAAGGCTGACAGATGGTCCAGACCTGTGCAGGATTCAGAGCATGAGAGGCCCATCTTGTCGACTCCATTCTTGCAGCTAATAAAACCCCCACATTGTTTCCCAGAATAAATGCCCTAAGCTCAGGAGGGCTGAATTGAGTGTGCCGCTGAGGGCTCGACCTTTTCATCCTGCATCTTTTCCCCCTCCCTGACTGCTCTTCTTCACCTAAACTCTGAGACAAGGTCCTCTCTTAGTGCCCTGTGTTTGACATTAAGAAATGACGTTGATTTCTCAAAAAACTCTCTCCCCAAAAAGCCCCTCTCAAAAAAATCATTGTAACACTTGGTTTATTTGCATAATGACTTTAACTGAGGCAGCACCGTGGTGCAACTGAACTGCTGCCTCTCAGTGAGAAGGTTGGTTCAAATCCCGGTCCGGGGGCCTTTCTGGGTGGAGTTTGCATATTCTCTCCATAAAAGTGTGGGTTTTCTCCGGGTTCTCCAGTTTTTGGTAACTCTAAATTGTCTTTAGGTGTGAGTGAGAGACTGAATGGTTGTTTGTCTCTATGTGGCCCTGTGGTGGACTGATGACCTGTCCAGGGTGTGCCCCGCCCCTCGCACAGTGATTGCTGGACATGGACACCAACGACCCCCGTGACCCAAAATGGAAGAAGTGAGTAAAAGATAATGGATGGATGGACTTTAATGGCTGAATGTTCGGTCCCTGAGCTGCTGGCTTTCAGTAACTTTGGCTCCGACGAGCAGTTTAGTTGAATATCCTGCTTTAGAGGGTGCATTTCCAAAAACCTAAACTGACTCTGGAAAAATGTAAAAGATGATAAAGCCCTGCAGCCGACCTCATGATCAGCTGAATACAACAGTGATAAACAGGAAGTACCACATGTTCATTTTTACAAAGGTACCTGCAGGTAAATCCTCCATTTTCTGTCATAATTACATTTTATGTTTAATGGTTAAATTAAAGGTTAACGCTTAAATCTAGTTGCACTTTGTTTTGTTTTGTATGTAGATATATGTTGTAACTTCTGGTTCCATAAGTTTAGTCTTTGTTTGTTATGATCAGTTAACACTAAACTGATTTTGTGCAAAGTGTTTATAATCTCTCTCCAGACTGTGGCACCTACAAATCTGGGGCAGGAAGGACTTTGCGCTGACCCCAACCAAGATGCTCCTAAATCCTCCTCCTATGGCCTCAAAACTGTGAACAGGACCCAACTTGTTTCATAATTCGATATTTTTGGTTATCAATAAAATAAAAGCCTTTACAAGAAAATGGTTCGCACCAAATGTTATTAGCTGGCTGTAAAAGCTGTAAAACCTGGACTGGGAAGCTCAGTCCTCACCTCCTTCTACAGGTGTGCAGTGGAGAGCATCTTGTGCTCCAGCATCAACGTGTGGCATGGAGGCTGCACAGCTGCAGAAAGAAAAGCTTTGCAGAGAGTGGTGAAGGCTGCACAGAAGATGTTGGAGTCAGCCTCCCCACCATCACAGACATATACACCTCCAGATGCTGGAAGAGGGCCACCTGCATCATGAAGGACCCCACTCACCCAGCACACACACTTTTTGCCCTGCTCCCCTCAGGCAGAAAGTTGAGGAGCATTAAGTGTAGAACCACTAGACTGAGGAACAGCTTCTACCCTGTGGCTGTTAAACTCATGAACCTCTAACCAGAATAATCACTGTGTGAGAAAAAAAAATTGCTGTAATGCCACTCGATTGTTGATATGTGCTGCTGACTATCCATGCTGCTGATTATTTCATGCTGCTGTGTAATGTAAATCCGAGTGCTACGTCTGTAGCATCTTAGCTAGCACATCTGTATTGCACGCCGCTAGCTTAGCGCTACATCTTTTTGTGCCATTAACTCTAAAATAGTTATTGAATCAAGAGTTTACTTATGGAGGTAAACGTAGATGTTTAACAATCTGTTAAAATACACCAGAATGCAAGAAATAGCATCTACTTTATTCAAAAATTTACGGGGGAGGACCCCTCCACCAGTGTGCCCCTCCCACATTACGAATGCATCTGACACCAACGGCCACCATGTTGTTCAAACCAAGAGCCATTATCGACACCGGGAGCTATGCACCCCTAAAGGTCAGGCTCTGGAATCGCCCCTGCCTTTGTGCGTGAATCATTTCAGTGAGGAAACATCTGCAGAGTCTGAGCCTTTGATAATTAAGAGTCTGGCAGGAGGTTCAGTCAGATTTAACACAAACTTGAAACTTTGATTAGTCAACATAGCCAAAATTCTATGTATTATAGAGTATGTTTTAAAATTAAGAAAGCATTCCTTTGCCAAATATTTGCTTAAGCCTTAAAAAAAATAAAAATCTGTCTACTGACTTTTTTCTTTGTAAAACAAGCAATATTTTAAACAAGAGTGACTGCATACAACCACTGAATCAGTGGAAACATTTTAATTTAAAGCTTAATTCTCAAAGTTTCTCATCCAGATACAGAACAGGCTGAGTGGCAAAACAAACTGAAGGTTTAATTCATGAAATTCTGCTTGGAGCTTCTGTAAACACACACAAACCACGAGCACCCATGCCCCTGACTCTCATCTGATGGCTTTGATTTTCAGCTGATGAGGAACAACTAATAGATCCAGATAGTTTGCAGCTACAGATACGAGCCCGATCAGGACCCACCTGTCCATCCGGGGTAGCAGCGACACGAGCCAGACACGGGGTCGCAGCCGTCAGCGTGGCTGCAGTCACAGTGTTCACGGCACTCCAACCCGTAGGTGCCGTCCTGACAACGACATCAGCTCAGTGTCAGACATTTAAATCCCAAAACATGTCAGCTGGTGCATGTCAGGCTGATGCTACAGGTGAGACTCACAGGGCAGGACTCGTCACAGCGCTCCCCTCTCCACCCAGAAGAACAAGAGCAGGTGCCGTCTACGGGGTCACATGCAGCTCCGTTGTTGCAAAAGCATGTCTGATTACAGCCCAAGCCCCATGTACCACTGGAGCAAGGGATGGAGCAGTCCACACCCTGCCAGCCTCCAGTGGAAGAGAGCAGACACCAGATGGGTTCCATTAATTTAAAGAAGCTTCATGAACATCATTACCTTAATCAAAGGCCTAGCATTCCTTGAAGTAGGCATATCGCCTGTTGCTGTTCATGCCAGGGTTTTAGATTAACATGTTATGAAATGAGTTGAAGCTGTAGTTGAAAAATAACAATATGTGCGAACTTGTGCAATTTCACAAGACGTCAGTCTCAAAACATGTGTTGGAATTGACTCTGAGCTACCACTACATAACATGTTAGCTCAATATCTGTAAAGATGACTGAGTTGTAACCATTGTTGTGTTTGCTGGGGTCATTTAGCTGTAGCAGCCATCTTTAATCCGACTGACTCAGTATATTCAATGAGTTACTCTTGAAATTCATTCACTGTTTCATCAAAATAATTTGGCAAAAAAAAGAGACATGAGCAAAAACAGGCAGCAGTTTATAATGAAGACTTAGAAATGAAAAGTTTCTGATAGCAACCATAAAAACATGAACATAAGTTGTTTCACATTACATCTTTATAATCAGGTGAAAAACGTGGTGTGATGTTTGGTGTCGTGTAATGACCAAATAAATGAACAGGTTTGATTTCCTGAGAGAAGTTTATGATAATGTCAGAATATAATTTGAATTTATCACGAGGTTAGAGGAAGTCAACAGACAAAGACAATAATTGATTAGTTCATTTTAATTATTTCAGCTTATCTTCAAAATAGGATTAAAGAAGACAAAACAGATATTTAGCATAGTTTTAATCCCTTATGGATAAACGCTTTTTGCGGTTTCATGGTATTGCTGTAAAACCTGGATGGTAATTTAGTTTGCTTTAATGTTTTTATAACCTTAGTCTGTAAGACGTGAAGTAAAATTTCTTTTTCTCCTTTTAAACCCAAATATTAATTTCATCTTTACTCTTAAACAATGATATGTGAATAAAACTCTGTTTGTCATCTCAATACAAATTCTCAAACAATGGCTCTGCTCAGTATTTGTTTCACACCTTCACTGTGTGAGTGAATGTTAAATTATTACTTATGATGTCCTGAGCATCAGAGTGGAAAATTGTATATATCTCTACCTATTTGTTTAGGATTTACTTTGTCATCCATCAATATTTGAGAGATATTTCCACTAAACTAAAAAGTGTTGTAATGACTGGGGAGGGGTTGTGCTTTTATTTTTATTTATTTATAAATTTTATTTAATTTTATTATAAATACTTCAAATCTTTTTTATTTAAGGAAACCACATATAAAACATAAAAAAGTGAAAAGAGCCAAGTAAGTAGAGGCTGCAATCACATATTTATGATTTTCTGAAAATTGCCTGACAAAACCTATAAATAGATTATTTCTAATCCTTTCATCGTTACATGTCCATGTTCCGAAACAGCTGAAGGCTGATAAAAAAAAGACCTATTTAACCAAACCAGGTTTGTTAGAGCAAGACACGTGCAAAACACGTGCAGTACAGGCCGTGTGAATAATTAACCTCTCGTCTTCTTGTATCATGAATGTCTTGCCTGAACTTGTACCATGAGATAATTGTTGTGTACCTTCATTGCAGACGCAGGAGCCATCGATGGGAGAGCAGGACGCCTGATTGTGGCAAGAACATGTGGACATGCAGCTCGGTCCGAACACACCCTGAGGGCACGCAGTGTCACAGTCCTCCCCCTGAGGAAGAACCAAACCAGGGAGCAGAAGAATCAGAAATGGGTTCATTCTGAATGACTGAGGACAGAAAGACAAAGAGGGTAAAATACACTTCTCCTTGCTTTCTGGATGATTTACTTGGGTCGGTCAGGCTGTTTCTGCACAAAGAAAAGCAGCAAATGAATTGCGAATTTAAAGTGAAGCTGAAGGGAGAAAGGAAATATACAGCTGATCACCTTGAGCAATCATTCCTAGCTTCCAATTATGCACTCTACGTATTCTGACAGCGCTGATGCTTCTTGCAGCCCTGCTTCAGCACCGCTCTCTGACGTCTCTCCACATCTTTGTAGAGTCTCTTCGCTTTTCAACAGACAGACTGGCACAACTCCAAGACCCAAGAATTCTCATCCATCCTCCTCGGAGCAAGCCACGACTAAATTCACCCTTCAGTCTGCCCTTCTTCACTTCATTAATATAAATATTTCTGTTCTAAATACACTTTGTGTTGGACAAACTGCAGTCTTTGCGTTGCAAAACGACTGGTGGAAGATAAAGAGTACCTGTTAACTTTGAACATGGTGTTCAGCTGGAGCAAACAGGATGTAAAGGAAACATTACCATCAATAATAAGATATTATTATTATTATTATCATGATTGAGATTATTATTCATATATCATTATTAAGATGTTTGTGTTTACACATGATCATATTAAGTGCAGTGTACCTATTAACGTACAATGACTATAAATAGAAAAAAGAAGCTTTCTTGAAGGAATGCGTATTGCTATGTTGCATGCCAAAATTTTAAACAAAGATCTGATCTGTTAGCTCTCAGAGCATATGTTGGGGAGGACTCTCAGCTAATAGCATGCCAAATTTTAGCACAACATATGTAAAATTGTCTGAAGTATCACTATTTTGGTGTTTGCTACTGTAGTTTAGCTGTGGTGGGCATCTTAAACCAGTTTGGCACCAAAAGTGAATCAGTTGTAGATGTACGTCCACTGATCACTTTTTAATAATATAGTAATAATAACATTTATTTAACCAGGTTTGTCCCATTGAGATCAAAAGATCTCTTTTACAAGAGAGACCTGGCCAAGACTGGCAGCACATAGAGAGAAGGGGAAAAACACTGTTACAACACAGTCACAATAAACATAGACTTTCAATAAAACAAATGACTCAATTAAAACAATTGCACTTCTGCAACTTGAACATAACAGGATCTATCATGGTATTAAATACATTCAGATATACTAGTGTTCTAAGTTTAAGCTTTGATTGCAAACTGTTCCATGAGGTTGGAGCAGAAAAGCTGAAGGCTTTCTTCCCCTTTCTGTTCTGACACGAGGAACACTCAAATTTAAAAAGACTTGAGACCGGAGTCTGTAGGTCCTGTTGTTTAAAGTTAACAAAGATGAAAGATAAGGTGCTGTCAACTTAATCGTAGGCTTGTAAATCAAAACATACCAATGGCCAAGCTGATGTACAGAGATGACCATTTTAACTTAGCAAGAGACAGTGATGAGTTAAGGCTCCATAATTTGTAATGAACCACAAAGCACCATGATACACACTATCCAGCATGTGAAGACATTGAGCAGAGACGTTCATGTATAATACATCACCATAGTCAATAACTGGAAAAAAGGTTGACACCACCAATTTCTGTTTTACCCTAAAAGAAAAGCAGGATTTATTCAGAAAATAAAATCCAAGTAAAAGCTTCAGTTTATTTAAAGTGCACTGAACATTCAGAGATTCTTTATTGTCATGGTGGAACAAAAATATGTACACAGGGTCCCAGTGACATCTATCAATAAAATGTAAAAGAAAAACAGTAATGATATCTAAGATATGAACTAAGACTATGAACTAAAAAAACATCAGTTAAAAATACGCTAAGCACTAATAGCATACAAACAATAAACACAATACACTGAACAGCAGCACGAACATGAGTCAGTGTGAGCAGATGAGTACGAACTAACACAGCATCATGACACAGATCAGCAGCAACAATTGTTGTCATCATTCTTTGTTGAAATCAGGTCTCTCTTGTAAATGAGTCCTCGAGGCTCAATGGGATTTACCTGTCTAAATAAAGGTTGAATGAACAAGATGTGATTTTTCACAGTGATTATTCTGGTTAGAGATTCATGAGTCTAACAGCCTCAGGGTAGAAGCTGTTCCTCAGTCTAGTGGTTCTACACTTAATGCTCCTCAACCTCCTTCCTGAGGGGAGTGAGGCAAAAAGTGTGTGTGCTGGGTGAGTGGAGTCCTTCATGATGCAGGTGGCCCTCTTCCTGCATCTAGAGGTGTAGATGTCTGTGATGGTGGGGAGACTGACTCCAACAGTCTTCTGTGCAGCCTTCACCACTCTCTGCAAAGCTTTAATTTCTGCAGCTGTGCAGCCTCCATGCCACACGTTGGATGCTGGAGCACAGGATGCTCTTCACTGCACACCTGTAGAAGGAGGTGAGGACTGAGCTTCCCAGACCAGCTCGCCTCAGCCGCCTGAGGAAGTAGAGTCTCTGATGAGCCTGAGGATATACTGTATGTGCTTTAAAAGACAATTTATCATCAATTAAAAATCCCAGATATTTGAACGTAGATATAAGTTCAATTTGTTGACCATCACTAGTGGTGATGACAGACTGGTTTGACCTTACTGTTGTTGAGTTGTTGAAAAACATAAGCTTTGTTTTGTCAGCATTCAAAACAAGTTGAAGCTGACTATGCTGTTCTTGTATTCTGTTAAATGCGTTCTGCATGTATGCAAACACTTCTGTGGGCATAGGTGCAAAACAATATATGACTTAGTCATCTGTATAAAAATGAATTGCTGCATTTGAAATATCCTTTCCAAAATCATTATTATCCAAGATAAATAACAAAGGACCCAGTACAGAACCTTGTGGTACCCCCTTGTGAATAAACTGAACTCCAGAACAAAAACCATCTGGATTCTACAGTATCTTTAAGATAGTTTACAAACCATCCAACTGTATGTGTAGAAAACCCAACAGTTGTTAGATGATTAGTGATCCACAGTATCAAAGGCCTTAGAGAAATCTATAAATAGTGAAAGACAACACAGATTTTTATCTAGAGCTTCTGTTAAATCATTTAGAACCTTTAATGCTGCAGTGGTAGTACTGTTTATTACTAAATCCTGATTGATAAATCCAAATAATAGAATTAGTGGCCAGATATTCTTTTACATGTTCACTAACAAGGGACTCAAATACTTTAGCAAGCACAGATAATTTAGATGGGTAATTTTTGGATGTTTCTTTCAAATCTGTCATCTGGTTCGTGATATATTTTACGAACAGACAGACAAAAAACACATGCATAAAGATGCAGGCAATTACATGATCACCTGCTGCCATGAAAGGCAGGAAGTAAATATTAACACACTGTGGAAAATAAGTCATCATTCAGTGATGTCTGGATGATTATTAGTTCTGCTGTTTAGATGATGTTTGTGTTGAAGTGTATTGCTGCAGGTCAGAATCAGTGACAAGTATAACCACTTCCACTTTATTATCTTTGGGGAGGCCCACTTTGAAATTCAAAAACCTCTGATGAAACAGTGAACATGTGAGATGGAGCACCAAAGGTGATCAAGTCTCGTCCATTTTTCATGCTCTTGTCCTTTATGGCAGGAGGAAAAATAAGAAAAAAATGCCCCTCAATCTACATCAAGTTCTGCGCATGAGGCAAGTTAACTGAGATTTTAGACAAATCAACTTTCTGTTGGTTTTAGAAGCTACAGGCTGATGACAGCATACATGTAAAGAAATCAGTAAATATGCTGATTTTATATCAGTTTTACCAAAACTGGAAATGTCCTCATTAGAAAACCAGCCTACAAAGCTGAAGATGTTTTCTGGATGGAAAATACATATTTTCATACTCCCCTGAACGGTTTCTGCAGATTTTCTATATCGACTCATAGTATTATTTCATTAACTTTTGCAGGTGATAAATGATGAAAGAACTGCTGCTTAAAATATCCTGTAAAGTTCTGGTCTTTCGGTATTTATTAAACGATTTGTAACAGACTCACCTAAAAGCTCAGTGGATCCATCCATCTGTTGTTTCAGGATTTAAATTTATTGTCATCTACCTTCACCTGACAGAACACAACTTTGATTTGCAGTTTTTCTGTGAATGCTGTTGAGTGTTCATTTGTCATTTGTTGCAGCTGTATTTGAGAGTCATTCTCCACAACACATACCTCTAGCGCTGATAGCATCCATCCATTATCTTTTACCAACTTCTTCCATTTTGGGTCACGGGGGTCGCCGGTGCCCATGTCCAGCAATCACTGTGCGAGGAGCGGGGTACACCCTGGATAGGTCTCCAGTCCATCACAGGGACACATAGAGACAAACAACCATTCACACTCTCACATACACCTAGGGACAATTCAGAGTTACCAATCAGACTAACATGAATGTTTTTGGTGGGAGGAAACGAGATTACCTGGAGAAAACCCATGCATGCACCGAGCGAACATGCAAACTTCACCCAGAAAGGCCCCCCAGACCAGGATTTGAACCAGCAACCTTCTTGCTGAGAGGCAGCAGCTCTTCCAATTGTGCCACCATGCTGCTTAAACTGCTTAAGCATAAACTGTGTAATTGCACACAATCATATTTTCAAGGTCTGAACAGCAAACTTCATCTTTTCAAAAGACAGTAGGTGCATTCCTTCATGGATGTTTGGCCTTAAGGTTGAAAGCCTGGAAAAGCTTTACAAAAAATAAATAAAAAGAAACAGAAGAAGCTTATAGAGGATTATTATTTTTAACTCACCAAACATGTTTCTTTTCTCTTTTTATTGTTTTGTCTATAGAGAAAAAGAAAAAAAAGTATTTAAAGCAAGATCAAAACATCCTTGCAGCACGGTGGCACAGTTCGTAGAGCTGCCGTCTCACAGTGAGCAGGTCACACCGGTTCAAATCCCTGTCCGGGGGCCTTTCTGGGTGGAGTTTGCATGTTCTCT